AAGAAAGATTTATGAACTTTCTTTAATTAGAAAATATGGCCATGAGCTCTTGTCATTGCTAAATTGAGTTGATGACAGCTTCTTTGTACTATTTTATAATCCTCTAGAGTTAATTTTTGCCATGTGCCCCATGAAGCAGGATGGTAGAGTGGAAAGAATGTATGCTTTAAATTCAGTTATGCTTTAAATCCAGTTATATTTGTGATCTGCCATTTGCTACTTGTGTGGTTATAGGAGAATTATTTAACCTTTTTGAGTCCTCATTTCTTTAGTAGTCAGTTTGTGAAGTCTTATAAACTATATATGAAGACCCTAGTATGGTAACTCATATTAGAAATTATTTGTGAAGATCATAATATAGTACCTACTATTAAGTTGGCAATGAATAAATGATGGTTATGGTTATTAATATATGTGTACATATATGTATATATATGTGTATATGTATATATATATGTATACTGTTTTGTTCCTTGATTTTACATTTTAAACACCATGTAATTTTAAACTTAAATATAATTATGGGTTCTTCACCTTTGACAATGATAAATATTGCATTTTTGGGATAATCTGCATCTAGAGATATTTTAAAGGGTTGCTTTATAATTTTGAAATTATAGAATTTTGAGTCTTGGAGATACACATTTGTCAGAAATTGGGTCAACAGAATTTTGTGTTGAATTGGTATTTTTTAAAAATATTTTTTTTTATTAATTTCAGAGAGGAAGGGAGAGGGAGAGAGAAATAGAAACATCAATGATGAGAAAGAATCATGGATCGGCTGCCTCCTGCAGGAACCCTACTGGGGATCAAGCCTGCAACCCAGGCATGTGCCCTTGACTAGAATCGAACCCGGGACTCTTTAGTCCACAGGTCGATGCTCTATCCACTGAGCCAAAACAGCTAGGGCGAATTGATTTTTAAGTGTAAACATGATCATAGTATATGAGAAGTTCCTTTAGTGTAATTGAATGTACATATCCATCATAGGAACTTTTTTCTTGGAGAAATTTCAGTAGCACTAAATTGTCTCTTCTTTTATCAACATTAATTCAAAGTTAAAAGACAAGTCTTTGGACATTCATTTTATACCTAGTTATCTCTATTAGGTTTGAATGGCAGTTCCTTGTTATGTTTTCCAATGAACACTAGAATAATAATATTTAATTTTAGCTTTAAGTTAAAGGAACTAAATTGTTTAAAAATAATCGGGCATTTTTTAGTTATTTTTTCTGAATTAGTTATGAAGTAGTTAAGTTTGTAGCCTTGCTGTTATGCCACTTGAATTTGTGTTATAGCACTTGCTAGTACAACTCCACAAAGAGTATAGAGCAGGTGGCAGCAGCTTTCCTTTACCACTGAGACCATAGAAGCACTGATAGGAAGTTAGTGGAAGTGCTGGGATTAGGAAACCATTCTCCTGAATCAAGGCCAAATATTTTGTTTGTTGAACCATGCTGGATTTTACAGGTAAAAGTATTCTAGTGAGTAAATTGCTGTTCATAGATTTTCTTGGGGACTGACTCACCTGATATTTAAATCTCTAATAAATCTTTTTTAAAAAATCTCACCAGTGGATAGGTTTATTGATTTTAGAGAGAAGGGAAGGGTGGGGGAACGGAGAGGGAGAGGGAGAAGGCGGGGTTGGGGGAGAGGAAGGGAGGAAGGGAGGGAGGGAGGGAGGGAGGGAGGGAGGGAGGGAGGAAGGAAGGAAGGAAGGAAGGAAGGAAGGAAGGAAGGAAGGAAGGAAGGAAGGAAGGAAGGAAGGAAGGGAAGGAAGGAAGGGAAGGGAAGGAAGGAAGGAAGGAAGGAACATCTATCTGTTGCCTCCCATATGCACCCCCACTGGAGATCCAGACTGCAACCTAGGTATGTGCCCAGACTGGAAATTGAATCTGCAGCCTTTTGGCGCATGGGATGATGCTCCAACTAACTGAGCTACCTGGGCACGGCTCTGATATATCTTAATTTTCTAACCCTTTGAATATGGTTAATGTAAGTATTAGCAGTTCTTATTTGTTGGTATTCTTTTATTCTTCTTTTTTCCTCCCCCTTCACCTCCCCCATCCTTAGAACAATAACCTAGGTAACAATAAGAAAAATTAGCCTTTTACTTAACTTTTCTGATTTCAGCTGCCCCTTTTTAGTCTTTTTCTTTAGGTTTTTTTTTTTTTTTTTTTTACATTTAAAATTGGTATTAGGCTTTCTGATTTAAACACACACACACACAGCTTTTACTTGAAGAAACAAAGGGACTTAAATGACAGAAAAACACACAAAGGATATGAATAGTTGACTCAAGGAGAAGTAGTCCTATTACTATTAGTAATGATAATAGTATCATTTATATATTTTTTGCCACGTGCCAGGTACTGTCCCCAAGTGCTTTATATGCTTAATAACTCATTTAATAAACTGTAAATACTATTACCTTCATTTTTCTAGTGAGGCAACTGAGAGACAAAGGTTACATAACTTGCTAGGCCCTTGCTACTTACAGACAGCTCATAAGTACAGAGCTGGGATTCAAACCATGGAAGGCTGGTCCAGAGTTATGCTTTTGATTAAATAAATTATAATGATTTCTTATAAGCAGGACTAGGACTACAAATTAGTACAAGGGTATATCATTCTATTAAATTGGAAGTTATTTTAAAATATATGCAATTTGGGAGGAGGTTATTTGTATTGGTGGGACGATTAATTGAAAAGCAATATCTATGAGCCTTAAAATATTCATATTCATTGACTGGTAATTCTGCATCTAGCCATCTCTCCTAAGGAAATAATCAGGAAAATAACTGTGTTCAAAGATGTTCACCAATTATCCTGTATGATAAAAGGCTAATATGCAAATCAACCGAACAGTGGAATGACCAGTCTCTATGATGTGCACTGACCACTAGGTGGCAGATCCTCAATGCAGGAGCTGCCCCTGGTGGTCAGTGTGTTCCCACAGAGGGAGCACTGCTCAGTCAGAAGCAAGGCTCACAGCTGGTGAGCACAGCGGTGGTGGCAGGGGTCTGTCCCGCCTCTGAGGCAGTCGGACATCCCTGAGGGCTCCTGGACTATGAGAGGGTGCAGGCCGGGCTGAGGGACCTCCCCCCCCCCCCCCGCAACCCCCCCCCCCTCCCGTGCATGAATCTCGTATTAATTATAATAGTGGAAAAATGAAAGATTGTCCAGTTGTTATGGAATAAATTATGTTTTTTCCCCCCAAAAGTGACTAGAATATTATGCAAACATTAAAATTGTTTTTGAAGAATAATTCATAAAAAATAAAAATATTTATAATAAGTGGAAAAGCATGATATAAAACCATTCAGTATGGTCCAAATTTAAAAATGTATGTATGTGGAAAAAAACAAACAAACCAGGAAGAACATAGAATAGGATGCTTATAATTATTTCTAATGTGATTATGGAAAATGTTTGTTTCTGGTACAATTAGTTTCCTTTTTGTTTATATTATTATTTTATTTTTAATATATTTTATTGATTTCAGAGATGCAGAGAGAGGGAGAAAGAGATAGAAACATCAATGATGAGAGAGAATCATTGATCAGCAGCCTCCTGCATGCCCCCTACTGGGGATCTAGCCTGCAACCAAGGCATGTGCTCTGAATAGGAATCAAACCTGTAACCTCCTGGTTCATAGGTAGACACTCAACCACTGAGCCATGCTGGCTGGGCTATTTACATTATGTCTTCTTTTAGTGAACTTTCTGCATTGGCCATGTAGTACTTTTATAGTCAGAGGAAACCAAGTGGCATAAATGAATGCCTAAATGATGCCAATACTAGCTTTTACTGAAAATATTCGTTAAAGATTAGATTTGCATGTCTCATAGTATAAAAGGATAGGTTTCTGAGCTTCAGTTAGTTTTAGTTTGGATATTATTTTTGGAACCATGCTTGTTTTTTGATGTGGAGGTGTTGTGTATCAAAGAAAATTGAAATTTTTTTCTTAAATATATTCATTATAGTGATTGATTGTTTCAGCACTAAATTTGTTTTGGCTATGTTAGTAGAAGAAATGGTTATTATTCTGCCCTGTGGTACTTGTTTTTTGAATAACAACTTGTTGACAAAAATTACTGACTTGGTGGTGGTGGTGGATGGGGAGAAGGAAGATGAGTAAGAATTGAGTGTAAGGGGCACATGGACTGTTTAGTATAGGATTATGAATTAATTTTACTATCAGTTTTGCATACATAGTTATAGTTTATAGCTACAGAAGTAAGGAATTAAACTTTGGTTTATTTTGAAACATCTTCGAAGTTTAGTTCCTTAAATCTAAAATTTAACACATTTTAAAAAATACAAATCTATGTAATGGAACAAAGATACAGGTTCTGCTGTCAGCTGTTTTTTAAGTTCTTATATTTTAAAAAAACACCCGAAAAACCAAATTACATTAGGGAAAAGTTGTAGAAACACACTTTTCTGTGTGCTACATGTTAAATAACATGAGTAAGTTGTTGATAACTTTTCATCAGTTGTATTAGCTTATTTTCTCATAATGAAGCAATGTGGTACTGCATTCAAACTGTTTTCTTGATTGAAAGGACTTTGAACTGTAATTTCTGGAGAAGAAATTGAAGAAATTCTTGGAAAGAAATTACTTAAATTTTGCACTTATTTTTCAATTTCTTACCTGATTTAGAAATATAATTAATGAATTCACTAAGGAAGAATAATGTAGAAAGTAGTTTTATAGTAGATGTTTAGGTAAAAATAGCTTAACAGAAAATAATGATTATCTGTTGGTTTTAGTTTGCTTTTAATATAAAGAACTATGTAGAAATCTTGATAGGAAAAAAAGAATAGTTTCCCTTTTAAAAGGATTGGCTACATTTTTCAGTGGGAAAAATATTATGATTAAGTGTAGTGTAAGTATTTACCAAATTTACTTACCTGTATAGAAGCCTGTTTTTAGTGTTTTGCAACTAACAAGAAAAATCTAAACTATTGTAATTAATTGTCTTGTCTTTTTGCAGGCTGAACTCACGGGAATCAAATGGCGTAGGTACAATTTTGGAGGGCATGGGGACTGTGGACCCATAATTTCAGCCCCAGCCCAAGATGATCCAATCCTGTTAAGTTTCATCCGCTGTCTGCAAGCCAACTTGCTGTGTGTATGGCGTCGTGATGTCAAACCAGATTGCAAAGAGTTATGGATATTCTGGTGGGGAGATGAACCCAACTTAGTGGGCGTAATACATCATGAACTGCAAGGTAAGTTTTTGTTTTGTTTTCTTAAAAATTGAATGTGTCATATCTTTTTTGAACAGTGGTAAATTCCAAAGAGGTTATTAAGACTTGCTGAGAAGAAAAATCCTAATGTTTAATAGGTGTGTCTCTCAAAGGAAAATCCTCACTCTCACCCCTGTTCTTCCCACTCCCATTTTTCTTTATTTTTCAAATTTTATTGTCCTTTCCCAGTTTTCCTGGGAATCAGAACCTTGTGAGCCACTATTATTAAAGAAGAGTTTTGTGTCTCCTGGGTGTGTTGGGTTGGAAAGCCACTGTTTAAAAAATATTTTTATTTATTTCAGAGAGGAAAGGAGGGGAAGAGAGAAATAGAAACATCAATGATGAGAATCATAGATCATCTGCCTCCTGCTTGCCCCCACAGGGATCAAGCCCACAAACTGGGAACCAAACCGTGACCTTCTGGTTCATAGTTTGATGCTCAACCTCTGAGCCTGCCCAGGTGGGCAAAATCAACTGTTCTAAAAAGACAGTGAATTATAATTGGCAGTTCAGTGAAATGAACAGTTTTTTCTTGGGCTGTAGCTGTGTGGTTATTGCCAGCAGAACTCTGGTGGAAATTATAAAATGATAATAGAAAATTAGTGCAGACCTTATTGGACAAAATTATGAGATGACATTGGCTAGTATTTTGAAGAAATATTAATATAAATGATCTGGTCTGATATTGGTGTAGCAAGTTTTCTTTTGTTTTGTTCCTGCATTTTATGTAATTCGGTGATTCCAGGAAATATTTGTCTCAGTGTTTCCTAATTTTTAACTTCAGATTACATCTGATACCTAGAAACTGAATTATTGTAAGAGTTTCATTAGTCTAAGATCTACATTTTGTATATACCACAGATTTATAATTAGAGGAAGTTTTATCAATATTTTGGAATTTCTGATAAAAGATTTTGCCTCTTTACCCAAATGTTTCCATCTTGCATGCTCAGGAATTTTTCTAAATCAAAACTGATTCTGATCTTTAGTTAGGGTAAGGCATTAACTCTTTTTGTCTTACTCTCTTAGGGCCACCTTTTATGTCCAAACTACTCTATATTTTGTTAATTTGTGGTTGAAAACTTTAGATAGTGTTTGAAATGTTTTGTTAGTTGACATGTTGTTGTTTTCTTTTTTTTTTTTTAAAGAAAGGAGTAAAACTAACTTTAACGTATATTGAGAGTCTATCCTAAAGTTTCTAAATTTGCCTGGAGGATTTCCTGCTAACTTTTGCTTGATACCTTCATAGCTTTTTAATGCAGTCACTCTTATCTGTGATATCTCCTGCCACAACAGCCAGAGGGCAGTAAACCACAGAGGACTAATTTGAGCTGTTTACCTTATGGTCCATTTGTCTATTCAACTCAAACCTTTCTCCCCATATTTTTAGAGTACTTGGCATGTAAATGTAAGAACCCTTTCTGAGTAAGATTGCTAACTTAGGTGCTTAAGCAGCAAAATCTCAGAACTAATATATATATCTCAGAGCTATTTCATGTAGTTAGCAGTGAACTCAGGTAAAATTACTTCTTAACAAAAAAAAAATTCTTAACACCTGGATTTCACTGATCAGAATTTTAAAAATAAGAAACCTCCTAGAAGATACTTCTAAAACTTGTATCTGTTCATTTAAATATCAAAACATACATTTTTGTTGCTTAAAAATTTTTTTTATATATGTAGTAGAGCCATATAACATTTGTTTGTTTTAGTTTTTCTCACCTTTATTTTTCATGATTCTTTTCTAACTCAGTCTCCTTCCATTTCTCCACTCCACACTGATCCTTTATGTTTTAACTTTTTGGTCTGGTCTCTATTTGTTAAGCACACAAATTATCATTTTATAATGATGAAATAAAACCCAACTGTCTATTAGGCATATTAGTTGATGTATAAAGTTATTTATTCATACCAACAAAGCACATGATCATCATTCTTAGAAATAACTTAAGTTATTGTGTTATTTCTCATGGACTTTGTATGTTACTGAGTTAAATAAAAAGATGTAGACTATTTAAATTTTTTATAGTTGCCTTAGATAACATATGTAGATTCATTAATGTATTAAGTATCTTCGTGGTAAAGAATTAAGCAAAGATTAACTTTAAATTTCTTTTTTTATAAATTACAGAAATAATACATTTTAATTAGGGAATTAGGGAAACAGAACTGCCAAATGAAGAGAACAAAGAAACAAAACCTAAAGTCTAGACCAGTTTCAATATTTGGTGTTTTTATGTATAAATGAAATTGGTATTATACTGGTTTGTAATTCAGTCCTTTTCCTTAACATTATATTGTGAATGTTTTCTCATGAGAATAATTTATTTTTATCTTCTTTCCTATTGAGTCCAAAAAACTATATAGTGTTTATTCCTTTCTGAGCCACTAGAAAAGTATTACAGTGATGGAACAGTCATAACTTTGTTAAGCACATCTATTCTTTTTTATGTTGAATTTCTGAAAGTTATTTGATTGAAGCATATGAAGCGTCCAGTTTTGTAGATAAAGTGGTTAAAAAGGGTAATTTAAAATGGTTCAACATAATATTAGAAAATATTTGAAACTTAATTAGAAAAATGAATAGCATAAAGACAACCTTGTTTTAAGTGAGGGAGAATAAGACAAGCAGAGAAATCATGAAAAATAATGAAGGATATGAAGGGAATATTTTAATTGCTATTCATAAAATTGAGGATTTTGGCCATCTATTTCATTCTCTATTAATATATATGAGTCATTTCATTTTGGGTAAAATAACTTTTGGCAGAACCCTGTTAACATTAAACATGATAGTACTATTATATTGGTAACATTTTCTTTTTATAGGGCCATCTTATTTACTATTTCTTAAAATGTGTTTTGACTTTGTTATTAGGCATTTCACTTTGTCTTTATGGTGTACCCATACTGGATACCACTAATAAACCTGACAGTAAAATACAATACCAAAGCAGTCATCTTAAATGTAAATGTATGAAGAAGCCCTATAGAGAATAATCCTAACGATACACACATAAGTTGGTTTTGTAATATTAGAGTTTTTGTTTAAATGCTTGAAATACCTATATAAAATAGTCTGAGAGAAAACAAAACACATTTATAGCCGATCCCTATAACTTATTGTTGTTTATATTGTACTAGAGGCCCTGTGCACGGATTTGTGCACTGGTAGGGTTCCTCAGCCTGGCCTGTGGACATCCCCCAAGGGGTCCTGGATTGAGAGAAGGCTCAGGCTAGGCCGAGGGACCCCACTGGTGCACGATTGGGCTGACAGGGCGTGTCCGGCCTGTCTCCCCCAGTCCTGATCGGCTGGACCCCAGCAGCAAGCTAACCTACTGGTTGGAGCATCTGCCCCCTGGTGGTTAGTGCGCGTCATAGCGACTGGTTGAATGGTGGACACTTAGCATATTAGACTTTTTTTTTTTTAATAAGATGGCCTAGTGGTACATAGAATGGGCTTGGGTTTGAATTGTTGCTAGCTGTGTATTCTCGGCCAAGTTATTTAACTTAGCAGTGTGGTAGCATCCTCACTGTAAATTGGGTTATAAGGATAAAAAAGTTAAAGTACTTAAAATAGCAGAGAATAATCAATAATTGTAACTATTACTGCTGGTACTACAATGAGAACAGTTGACTCATACATCAAAATTAAAACATTTTGTTATTTTTTTATACAATTGGTCTGTTCTGTGTAACATTCAATGTTCATCAAATATTGATTTTTAAAGTATACTTTTATTTTGAATAATCATTTTTGAGTTTTGAATTGTACTGTTTGGGTGGAATAACTGGAAATAGTAAAGTGTCTAAGGCATTGAAGATAACCCCGCTCATATGAAATTTGTCTAGACTTAAACTGTAAACAAAGTTTCCTAATAAATCTTAAGCTGTGTTTTAAAGAGGTCAGAACTTAAGATTTGATTTTCTTGGTTACCTGTGAGGTAGGTTTGTAACTTTTCTGTCTTCTCCACATGGTGGTGCTGAAGCAGGGAATTGGCTGAACATGTTCTTCCTTGTGTCATCCATGAGTATCTGTATCAGTGGCTCCAGTTGGTTTGATGTAATCTCTTCTCTTGATAAGCTGATAATTTAAAAATGGTATAAGACAAGCACACAAATATTGGTAATGCAGAGAACACTGTAACTCATACAGCAAAGAGAAACATAGTAGATTGATTACTTTCCAAGTGGGCAGACATAAACTTACAACAAGAACACCGTGAGTCTTAGTGCCAAGGTTGATAACCTTTTTGGTTTCTGGTTTGCCTATTTAACATCTGTTAGGCAAGAGCTGTGGTAAGTTCTGGGTATGTAAAATGAGTCCTTAGCTTTAAGGAGCTCACAGTCTTATTGGTATAAACTAAATGAATCCTTAATTGTGATGCAGTGGAGTATTGGGAAGCCCAGAGTTGGTGAGGCTTACAGGTTAGATAGAAGTTATCTAGGTTGGGATAGAACTCATTCTAGTCAGGAGAAGTAGCCTTACAAAGAGCCTGTGGGCAGTGAACAAATTATGGGGAGAGCCGGTTTGCCCAGAGCTTGGGGTATGATTGAAATAATCAGGGAGACTGAAAGCCTGGGAAGGGGTGGGGGGCAAAGTGTGGAGTACACTGAAGCAAGGGTGAGGAATTTGGATTTAATTTGATAAATTTTGAGGCATTCTAGGTCTCTGATCAGAAAAATAAAGAATTAGGAGTATCATACACAAGATGAGTATGAGTAGGAAGACCTTAGTATTTAATAAATTATTTTATTCTAAATTGAACTATGAACTTAAATATTCTGTTTAGTTTAGGATACAGATTTATTTAAATTTAAAAATACCAGTGATTTTGAATTTTAGAGATTAATATAGAATGCTAAATTGACTTCTCATCAACCAAACAAAATCATTTTATAAACACAATCTTCTGGCCATTTCATTGCCTATTAGTCAGTGGCAGGAAAGATATGCAATCTTGAAGTCCCAAAATATTATG